AGCTAATGTAAAGTCCGAACTTGTAGGAGATAAATAGCCAAAACTCCGGTCAACAAGGAGATAAATCACTGAACATGTAGGCATCACAGAACTGTCACAAGTCTTGATGGAACGTTCTAGAGTGCTGTAGGGACACTGGGTCAATGATCTCCAACACTCGGGACATCCTCCTGCATCGGAGCATCCCCATAATCTGGTACGTCCCCATACTGGAGCGAAGCCGTGGGCAAGCCCGCTCAGGGACTGCCAGTGTCCCCCTGGATATTGTTACACTCTTCACTTTCTTCCTGCTGGATATGGGAGCCGGAGGAAGGGGAAGGGCTGACCTTGGAGGGGACGGGGGTTGGCATACGCAAGGGAATGGACGGGGGGATGCGAGAAATGGTTGTTGGGTGATGAGGGATCTCGTCGCGGTGTGGCTCCAGTGCAAAGAGGGCGATCAAGCCTCCTTTAGATTCGTACCAGACCTGATTTTTGTTGGGGGCTGGGGTAGAAGTTGGGAATGGTGGTGGGTAGAATGACCTTTCCGGTCTGTCTCTTTGCAAAGCAGGGTTTAGGTTGGAGATGGGCAGGCAGCTGGATGAGTTGTGAGTTCTAAAGCGAATAAACAGCTCACTAGGACTCACCAGGAGATCAGATTGACCACCTGCACCTGCTGCAGCGGTACGAACAGGTGTGATGTATTGGTTGTCCCGAGCTATGGCCAACCGGTACGCTTCCTCTTGGTGCTCACGGTCCTCGATAAGACAAAGCGCCCCTTCAAGCGTCCACAGATCCACAATCCTGTATCGGGTGTCCCTAGATCCAGCGTTGTGGACGGTGCGGCAGTCCCTGCAGCGCAAAGTGAATGACACGGTCCAGCGCCTGCATTCTCTGCAGCAGTGCTTGCGTGTCCCGACGTCTGCAGGGGTGCTCCAATAGCAGGCCGAGCAAGATCGCCAGTCCACACCTCGTTCAAGGCCGATGTTCGCTGGGTAGTGGAAGTTCGAACACCCAGGGGATTCGCATTTGGCGCTGGTGGTGGCTGGCGGGGGCATGGGAACGTCGAGGTGGTGGAGGGAGGATGATAGCAGGATCAGGGAGACAGTTCGGCTTGAGGGAGAGGTATTTATGTGACATGTCACATCCCAAACATGGTTAGCCAAGGATTCGTGCTAGAAGCGAAAATGTCGGTGAGAGACGGCAGGAAGAGGACAGGAGGGCATGGAGGTGTAAGGGAAAGCAGGTTCCATCTCCTTGACGCCAAAGTGCTAAGACCCGGGTCAAGGGGAAAGTGATCAGGTGTTCCAAAGTGTTCTCCCCCAGCTTTAGCCGCTCTGGAGTGTTAAGGAAATGAATGGCAGTGAAATCACATTATCACAGAAAAGTGACCAGACCTGGAATCGAACCAGGGACCTCAGGGAATGTATCTTGATTTGCGCTCAGAGATGTTACCACTACACCATCTAGCCTTAGGGGTGCTAAACCTTTTGTGCCTACCCAATCTGGTAGTGGGATTGGTCAGATTACTGACAGTGGTTCCCCAGTATAACAGCCTCCCCTAATCTGGACAATCCCAGATTTTGCAATATCACAGTACTCGCCACGGGGCTCATAACCTGTTAAAGGCTATAGGACTAAGGCAGACAGCTTAGGCAGACTAGAAGCAAAATCAGGAAGCTATACATTGCAATAAATATCCATCTAACACACCTAGAAGCGAAATCAGGAAGCTAAAGACATTCCTGTCGCTTCTAGGACATATATACTACTCTATATCTGATGTACAAGGAGCTAATGTAAAGTCCGAACTTGTAGGAGATAAATAGCCAAAACTCCGGTCAACAAGGAGATAAAT